TCAATATGAAACAGAACTATTAGATTAAAAAAAGTATTTTATTTTTCAACATAGTCTCCTTGCAAGTTAATACATTTAGTGTATCTTTTTTCTAAGCCCATGATTCCCTTAGAAAAAAATTCTTTGTCTTGACCCTCCCAAAATGCCTCTACTGCGGCCATCACGGCTATTGTCCTCAAATTTGTTGCCCCGGAGGTGTTCTTTGAGCCGAGGAAGGAGGTAGAAGTCACTGGGAGCTAGATCTGGCGAATAGGGAGGGTGTTCGAGCAGTTCGAACCCCGTTTCTTCAATGGCAGCCATCGCAACTGCGGCTTTGTGAGCCGGGGCGTTGTCTTGGTGAAACAGCACTCCAGCGCGCAGTTTACCGCGTCTTTTTGACTTAATAGCTTCTCGCAATCTTCTTATTTGGCCTGCGTAGTAAGAGCCTGTTATAGTGGCCCCCTTTTCCAAATATTCCACCATAATAATTCCTTCTGCATCCCAGAAAACAGCCGCCATAACCTTTCCCGCTGAACTTGACACTTTGAATTTCTTCGGCGTTGGTGAGGAAGCTCGTTTCCAAGTCATTGATTGTTGTTTGGTTTCGGGATCAAAATGGTGGATCCAGGTCTCGTCCATGGTCACAAAACGCGACAAAAAAAATTCTTTATCGGCCTGGAACTTTTGAAGATTCACCCTCGAAATGTCGACTCGTTTCTTTTTTTGCTCGTCGGTTAACATTCTCGGTACCCAACGCGCAGAGACCTTTTTCATATGCATTTTGTTGACAATGATTTTTTGAACGCTGCCATAGGAGATCCCTGTGACCTCAGCTACATGCCTTACGGTCACCCTTCGATCGGCCAACACGATATCTTCCACTTTTTTGACGTTTTCTCCAGTAAGGGACGTGGAAGGGCGTCCCTCGCGATGTTCATCTTCAGTGAAGGTTCTGCCCAGCTTAAATTCCTTTGCCCAGCGTGCGACTGTGGAATATGGAGGAGCAGACTCCCCCAATGTTTCCTCTAAGTCGCTGTGTATGTCTTTGGTAGACATTTTTTTCAGGCAGAGGTACTTGATGACAGCTCTTATTTCATTTTTCTCCATTTTGATGTTTTCTCTTCGACAGTTCATATTCAAATGAATGTATCTCCCGGTAATGGTGTCCTATTTATACATTTTTTTGAAGCTGAAGTAGTGGATATATAAGCAAGCAGAAAAAAAATAATTTGGGTTTTTGTGCGTTCTAGAAATACTCGATTATCATTACTTATTGATCACCTCTCGTAAACAGGGCAAACCCAGGAAGCCCTTACAAATTTGATTGTAACCCACCAACCTTAGAAGAAGTAGATACCAAAATCAAAAGAAGGGCCCACTAAACCCCTCGAATACATAGTAGGATTGTTCTAAGGTTACTGCTTATCACCAGTAGTATTTATTTTAGAGTTATAAATACATAATTATAAATGGCGCACACTTTTATACGGTCACCTGCCTTACCTAAACTAAATTTTAAATTTTACCTCAACGCCTTTCAATTCACTCTCCCCGATAAAAGCAACCTAGTAAGGTGGCTAAAAGCTACAGAAAAGGCTTGGACTTTGTGCAGTGCGGAAATAGGTACAGCCAGGCACTTACTGACAGGTTGTAAGGCGTTATTAGACCGGGTCATTATTCACGTCGCAATGATAGGGTAAAACAAATCATACGCGAAGCTGAGTTTAACACTGGTGAGAGCAAAAAAAGGAATAACAACAAACATCTACTACTAACATAAAGTTTGCAAAGGAAGGCTCAACAAAAAAGACTACAAAAGCCGTACTCCTGTCTGTGCCTTGGCGTCCAGACCAGACATATTTCTTTATGCAATGTCAATCAGGCGTGTAGTACTAGTAGAACTCACGGTGCCGCAAGAAACGAACATCATTAAAGACCACGCTTTAAAAAGAAAGAAGTACTTTGACTTAACCAACGAAGTAACTAAAAATGATTATTTCGCTGCGTTGTATGGCCTTGAAAGTAGGTGCGAGGGGAATACCAGCTAATCCCTCTATAACCTGATTAAAGACCTTGGATTCCCAAGAGCTTAGTTAAGCTCTTTTCTAGAACGAATATCCAAAGCGGCATTGTTAGGCTCATATCAAGTATGGCTAGGTAGAGGCGGTAACACAGCAGAAAGTAGAGGTGAGCGCTCACTCGTCGCAAGAAGTACTCCCTAAACCTATCCCTGGGTCGCAATTCCCGCTGTCGAAGTCGCATGTGTTGCCCTCATCTATCACGCTATGGACCCGGCATCCGCAGGGTGAATCCATGGAACGCTAAGAAATAGGTCTCAAAATAATTATGACATTGTGAATTGTGTTGCAGTTAAAAAAATAGTAGTTTAAATAATCAAATAGGTATTTTCAATTCAAAATCACAAACTTACAAATTGAACACAACAGCTCAAGCTCAGGCAACCGAGGGGCGGGAATCAGCTGTTTTGGTTTAAAAAAATGAAGTTATTTTATGATTGCTTGTAGTTTAGATTATAAGGATAACAAAAACTATTTTTCATTTTCATCACATACTTAATATTCAAGAAATTACTTGGTGAACATTAACACTGTAAAGACAAAATGGTCTTGGGCTCAGCATATGGATGACAGTGCACAGCATGACAGCTGCTGTGTTATTCTGTCTAAGCAAATCATGATTAACAATCTTAGATTAAGCTCAATGAGAATATCCCAACTACGAACATTATCATTCCGCATTCCGGTAACAATGCAATTGATGAAACATAAAGTTATTAACATTATTAACTGCAGTAAAGTCAATATAATATTTAATTATTGAAGTAGATAGATGTACCCTGCCAGGCTTTGCTGCGGCACATTGTTGATGAGAAGTGACGAACCAAAGAGACGCTTAAAATATATCGTGTCAAAGTTTGATGTCAATCGGGGCAGTGGGTATTTTTTGAGTTTTTGAAGCGTACACAACTTAAGTTAACATTTTTATACATGAAGACTACTTATGTTAACAAAGGCAAATGATTTTTTTCAAGGTGTGGTCTAATATTACCTCCTTGATTTCATGTTACCAAAGTGGAAATAAATTTAGGTGTTAATTATCAATTTTTAAATTCATTGCATAGTTTAAATCATTGCATAGTTTAAATCATTGCATAGTTTAAATCATTGCATAGTTTAAATCATTGCATAGTTTAAATAATTGCATAGTTTAAATCATTGCATAGTTTAAATTTATTGCATAGTGTACTAAGAACTATTGAAATATTATTTATAATTTAAACTTACCGTAAAACATTTACTAATTGATGACCTTTCTTTCGTAACCTTTGTATACAAAACTTTGCCAAATATTTAGTTTTTAGCTGGTATAGTTTAATTTTTTCTTACAGTGCAAGTCATCGTCAGCGATTCTCCTACTCAAACGTCAGAAGAAAACCACTTAGTTCAATCATATTTAATGAAGGTAAGTAGTATTTAACAAAATAAGTAATAAAGCAGTAAAATATCTAAATATAAAAAAAAATACATGATGAATTATGTTTTTTTTGTCTTCTTTTCCCGACTGACACATAATGATGTTAATTTTTAACTCTGAAGGAATTAGGAATAAATAAAATATTATACAGAGTAGTACCGATTATTCATTTACAAAATTTTATTTGTTTCAGGATATGAACTATGGGAGGAAGTGTTCTCCGTAATAATAATACAAGAATGTAAATTGTATCAAGCTTAGTTTATTATAAGTATATTTTGTAAGATGTTACACAACGGTACTTGTATAAAAATTTCATAATACTACATAGACTTATTTTGATGTAATTGTTTTTACTAAATTAACATTGTGATTCAATTACTTCAGCTAGTGGCTCACATTGCTCGTCTATATCAAAATTATGTGATGATTCTCATAATTAGCAATTATTACTATCACAGTTTATTACTTGCTGTATTATATTTGTATCGCAGTTTATTACTGTTTTGACGTCTGGGGCTTGTTAAATAACAGCTAAAGAAGCATTTCCCTCTTTTAATTATTCCCAAGTGAAAATTGTAATTTATCTAGAACCTTGTGTAATTTATAACTCATTATCGTGTACATATAGTCAAATTAGTGAACTCCGACACTAAATTAAACTACTTAAATTCTTATATACATTTGCATTGTACGTTTTTTATTAAATATTTAGAGAAACAGACAATGAACATTGTTGTAAGAATGTGGAGAGGCAACGGGCTCGTCACATTACAGCTACATGTTAACTATACGCTACGCTACAGTTATATTTATTAATGTCTATCAAAATAGTATTTAATAAACTCGTGTCTTCTTTAAATTGGTTTCATTTGTAATATTTAGTTAAGGAAGAACCTAAACGATATCAATCTATTGCAATACGTTGTTGATTGATACCAGCTGTGCAGTAAGTTGGTACTTGCTGGAGTTTCCTCTTGAATCGGCCAATAACTATATTTATTTGATGCATGTAAAACTAGCAATCAAATACATAGGTTAAGAAAAAAACTGCTAAAGGGCCGAAAATAACAGTGACTGATGAGCAATCGTTAACACATTGTTACATTATGCCTTCTTGCCGAGGATACGCTAATCAAAAAGGGATCAATGTCATGCTGCTTACATAGGTGTTCTACTTCAAGTTTAAGTCCTTATAAATGTCAGGGAGATAAACTCTTAATTAAATACAGTCAAAACCTGATATAGCGACATTGAAGGGACCGTATAGTTGCCGACGTCATATCCGATAGTTGTTATAAGCAATACACATACATACAGTTACATTAGTTGTGTAGTTATATTATTATAGGTACATATCTATCTAGTATAGGTACCTATAGGTTATGTATGTGAACTTGTTGTCGAATGAAATGTTAGAAAAGAAATAAAAATATTTATTAAGAAGTAATTAGAATACAAAATGTACTTAGCTGCTTACACTACGGGTTATAAGACTACACTAGTTTTTAAAGTAATCAGTCATTTTAGTCTGTTTTTTTTAGCCCAGTCTCAAATATTTTTTGCATTTTACGTTTCATACTCCTCAAGGTAAGAGTATCATCAGTATTAAAGTCATTAAATTTTTGCAAAACTGTTATAGCGTTAAGAGCCTCGGAAATTGTTGTTGGCTGAAACTGTTCTTCAGGGTCTTGGTGGTCTTCGTTTTCGTCGTTAGTGTTATGATTGTTACTTTCAGCTTCTGCAAGAATTTGTTCCTCAGTAGCTAAGGCGCACACAGCGACACTGTCATCTATTCCAATAAATTCCTCTATCTCAATTCTTTGTCCTGTAGCAGTAGATCTTTGCAACTGAGCAACCAATTCAGCAAGTGGTACGTTGTCATCTTCATCTGTAGATTGTATCATTCTCGCTAGCGGAATATCATCGTCGTCCTCCGCTTGTGATGGAGAGAGATCTTTGAAACCTGCATGGCGAAAGCAGTTAGCTATAGTGGTCTGTGTGACCTTTTCCCAAGCTTCCGATATCATTAGGATTGCATCCAAAACACTAAGACTTTTAGTATCTTTGCTGTTTTCAATATTCTGTATCATTTGGAGCACTTGAAGTTTTCTGTATTGTGTTTTTAAAGCTTTTATCACTCCTTGGTCCATGGGCTGTAAAACAGAGGTGACATTGGGCGGTAAAAACACAAGCTTTATGCATTTCAGATTGGAGACTTTAGGGTGAGCGGGACAGTTGTCTACTAGGAGAAGAATTTTGTTTCCTCCAGACTTCAATTCTGCATCCCAGCTACGCAACAATTTTTCAAAAATTTGCGATGTCATCCAGGACCTACTGTTGTTTTCATAAGTTACAGGCAAAGATTGAATGTTCTTAAAGCAACGCGTTTTTTTAGATTTTCCTATCACCCAAAGTTTTCTTTTACATGAACCAGTCATGTTTGCAGCAACCAATACTGTAATTCTTGTTTTGGACAAATTTCCGCCCTTGCATTCCTCGCCTTTGAATTTAAGTGTTTTGTCAGGGGTTAAATTGTAAAACAAACCTGTTTCATCAGCGTTAAAGATTTCCTCTGGTGTGTATCCTTCGCACAGTGCAGGCCACTTATGAGAGAGCCACTCTTCAGACACTCCTTCAGGAACGCCAGCCGCTTCACCGCAAACTTTTCCTGCCACAATATTATGACGAGCACGAAAACGTTGTACCCAAGACGACGAACACTTAAAATTTTCCTTACCCATAAGACGAGCAAAGTCATTGGCTTTTTGTTGCAGAATCGGACCACTTATTGGGACGTTGTTTGCCCACTGATGTTTAAACCATGTTAATAAAGCATCTACAACTTTATGTTCACTTTTCCCCGCTCGTTTAAGTTTTAAAGAGTTGTTTTCGAAAAGAACTTTTATTTTATCTCTATTCTTCCAAATCGTTGATATCGTAGAGTGCGAAACTCCACATTCCTTAGCAATTTCACTATTCGACTCGCCATTTTCTAATCTCCATATGACATGAGATTTTTCTTCAATAGAAAACACTTTTCTCTTTTTTTGCGACATGATAACGCATAAATACACGGTCTTATCAAAACCAACACTTATAAATCAAGCTGTCGCTCACGCAGTCATTTAGCGCACTAAACAATTGGTGTAAAATATGCAAGGTCAAATGGCCGGGAAGAGGTTCGGATGAGGTGGGAGAAAGTGCATAGGTAATAATACGCGTCTAAATATTCCTTCAATGCTTATCAATAAGATTTAAAATCGTCCGTATTGTTTTGTTTTGCTGGGACAAGAAGCGGTTGGTCGTTATAGTCGATGAATATCGATAAAGTTTCGTCGTTGTAAGCGATATGTCGCTGTATCCGATGTTGTTATAAGCGGTATGTTTGCTGAATAGTTTACTAAAGATTCCGCCGGGACTTTACAATCTGGCTGTAATAACCGATCGGTCGTTGTAAACGATGTCGTTATAATCGGTTTCGACTGTACATGTTTTTATGTTTTAAATTAGTTTGAGTAATATGAATTTATTTTTTACATAAAAAATAATGGGAACAAAATACACAAACTGAAACTACGTTTTATAATGTTGACCTTTAATTTACGTTAGAATAATAAAACTTCTGTTTCCGAAATAAGAATGTATGTACTCGTACATCTTATATATAAAATTCTCGTGTCACAATGTTCGTTCCTGTACTCCTCCGAAACGGCTTGACCGATTCTCGTGAAATTTTGTGTGCACATCGGGTAGGTCTGAGAATCGGCCATCTATTTTTCATACCCCTAAATGGTAAGGGTGACCCATCCCTATTTTTTTTTGTTTTGCAATACAACGTTTGCCGGGTCAGCTAGTATACAATAAAATTATCGTACATTGAGCTGTTTAAAATACTAGCACGTAAGTATTGTTAGTATATAAGTATCAATCTATTGCTTGAAAAATACTACAATAAGTTACAAAGGATCAACCTACCCTTACCTAATCCTAATTGGTATTGGTTGTGGGCTTCGGTTTCCGCATTTAGACTCAAGTGTGGTCTTTATGCGTAGAGGACTGGTTAGCTAGGTGAGCCAACCAAGCTCCTTCCAGAAGCGCAGAAGCCTCCTGGGGCGTTCAAAGGCTTCTAGGAGCGATTTTGTATCGGGAATGATACTTGCCCGTTGTGTGGCCACTCCCTCGCATTCCTGGACTACGGAGGCGGCCGTTTCTTCTGCTTCCAGACATCCCCTGCACAGAGGGCTCTCCGTCGCATTGATGATGAATAGGTGTCGGTTCAGGACTAGGTGTCAGTTCAGGACTAGGTGTCCTGTTATAGTTCCGACAACTATTCGGATTTCCAGTCTGCTAAGACTGATCAATCTTAAGGTGAGTCGTGGTGTGACTTGAGTCAGCACCAGTTTGGACTGTCTGCAGCCGGGTGAGTTTTTCCACCTCCGGTAATGTGCTTCACGGGTATTGGCAGGAGTATGGTTGGGCCGGTTGCTGGGGTTGCCGAGCCTTGACAACTCATCTGCGGCATCGTTCCCGTGTGAGTTACTGTGCCCTTTAATCCATTGGAGGAGTACCCCAATACCGGACAATACCAGAGGTCATTGCCTCTGGTATTGTGTCAGTGCTCTAGTGCCTCTAGTGCCTTTAGAACGGCCATGCTGTCGGATAGAATTCGGATGTTATAGTCCTTGATACCCCTTGACATGGCCGTTGTGGCGGCGTGGGTTATTGCCACCCATTCGCATTGGAATATGGAACTGTGTTTGCCTAACGCTAGTGAAATGTTCATATTTAGGTCTTGCGAGAAAACTCTGGCTCCAGTTCCTGACCTAGTCTTGGAACCGACCGTGTAAATTCGGACTTCATTAATGCCGGATTGATCTCGGTTATTTTCTTGTATCTGGATGTGGTATCTTTTTGTGAAGATGTGGTGTTTTGGGATTCTATCGCATGGGGCTGCTATTAGTGGTTTGTATTCCAGCAATTGATCCAATAATTTGGAGTGCGATCCCTCACTTTTATGCCATAGGCCCAGGTGTCTGAGTCTAATGATCGTCATGGCGGCCTCTTGCTATATGAATAAATCAAGTGGGGCAGACCCAGAGCGTCCTGCAGTGCGGCAGTTGGCGTTGTGCGCATACAGAAAGTGACTGCAGAGCATGGGAGTCGCTGGAATTACTGCAATTTGCTCATGGCGGTGCTTACCTCTGTTCTCTGCCACCAGACAACAGCACCGTAAGTGATTATTAGACTTATAACTGATCTGTAGAGCTATAGAGTAATCTTGGGCGATAGTCCCCAGCTTTAGCGGAGTAGCCGTTTGCATAATAGCAGCAGAAGATAATGCAGGCTTTGTTCAGTTTTTCACCGAGGTGCTTATTCCACAGGAGTTTATTGTCTAGTATTACTCCTAGGTATTTGACCTCTTTGGTAAGAGCAAGTTGCGTTCCAAATAGCTTGGGAAGTCTAAGGTTTCCTAGACTGCGTTTATTTGTGAACATGATCATCTCTGTTTTCGATAGGTTCACTGTCAGGTTGTGTGTTACACACAACTGTTCAACACACTGTTTCACTGTTCTTCAGTGCAAGTCTCATTTGATCGCATGTAACGCTCTCAAAGGAACCGCTGATGAGGATAGTCAGATCGTCTGCTTAGCCTATTGTAAGGAATCTTCTGTCATGGAGTTGTGCGATGAGTTCATCCACAACAATGTTCCATAGACGGGGGGAGAGTACACCGCCCTGGGGGCATCCTCTAGCTACCACTCCTCTAGTCACTTCGTTCACAATAAATTGAATTGCTCTATATCTTAGCATGCTGTCGATCCACCCTGAGATTGTGGAATCAACACCATGTCTAGACAGAGCTTGGCTAAAGCTGGTGAAATTGGTTTTGTCAAAGGCTCCCTCGATATCGATAAACGTGGCCAGTGTTGACCTTTTGTGATTTAGATTGTCTTCTATATGTAATACAACTCGATGTAGGGCAGATTCGGTTGATTTTCCCATCGAGTACGCGTGTTGGTTGTGGTGTAAGGGGTAACTGACTAACGCAGTTTTCCTAAGTTCCCTATCTATTAGCCTCTCGAGAACTTTTAATAGGAAGACGTGAGACTGATGGGTCGGTGTGATTTGGGTTGTGTGTGTGTGACTACGAGCCCCGATGCAAAATAGTTCGTCTAGTATTTAAAGTAGTGCAAAGCGTAAAACATAGAAAGTAAATATTGGTAAAATAATTAAGAACGTTTAATAAAAAGTAAACCACAATTTGAGGAACATTTTAAAGTTTATTTTAACATAACTGAAATTCTTTCATGACTTTACATCTCATAAATAATTTAAAAAATATTCTAAAAGACATAACGCAAAAGTATTCGTCTACCCTTGTCACTCACGCAAAATAGTTCGTCTACCACTTAGTTGTGTCGCCTTTGCTCTCAATGACAGCTTTAATGCGAAGAGGCATGGTTGCAACCAACGCTGCACTACTCAAGCGTAATTGACTCCCAGACAACGAAGTTTAGCCTTTAAGTCGATCTTCGATCTTAATGGATTTTTACGGAGAACTTTTTTCATTTTCCACCATAAAGTTTCGATCGGCGACAAGTCCGGGCTGTTAGATGGCCATTCGATTGTAGGGATGCTTTTTGCAAGTAGCCACGTCTTCGTTGTCCTTGCAGTATGGCAGGAAGCACCATCTTGTTGAAAAATGAAGAAATGTTGATGCTTAAGTGACGAAATAGAGGGCAGTAAATTCTCTTCCAAAAGGTTTTGATACCTTGCAGCATTGATAGAACCATCCACAAATTGCATACCACCAACACCTTGTGCAGACATGCAGCCCCATATCATAAGAGACGCCGGAAACTTCACTTTGCGTTTGAGACAATCAGTATGAAATGCCTCATTTTTGTTCCGAATCACTTTTTTTTTCCTTTCAAATTTGGACTCGTCACTCCAAATGATACTACGCCACTGATCGGAAGTCCAATTTAAATGATCACGAGCAAACTTCAACCTCTTTTGCTTTTGTACAGCAGTCAACAGTGGTTTCTCCTTAGCGGTGTAAAATCCGTAACCCACTCTTTTTAGAACTCTTTTGCAAGTATCAACTGAGACGTCTTGGCAAAAAATGGCATAAGTAACGCGACATATGATAGTAGAACAGCTTAATATTTTATGTAGATATACAAAAATAATGAAATTAGAAAAAATCTTACAGAGAAAATTTCACACGAACTATTTTGCATCAGGGCTCGTACTTTAACTTCTCTCCATTTCAAGGGGATGTAATGATGCGCCAGGCAGTCCCTGTAAATTTTTACAAGGTGGTCCAGTAGTATCACATCACACCATCGCAGTAGGCCTGGGAAGATACCATCTAGTCCCGGCGCCTTGAATTTTTTGAAGGAAGCTGTTAGTTGCCAATCTTAGTTTGTCACGATTGACAACTTTGCGGGTCGTATCCCAGTCTGTATCGTCTGGTGCTTTTTCCATCACACCTGAGGGCCAAGTGCGAGTTTATTTCACATCAACTCGCTCGTCACGGTGACCGCGTTTGGCTTTGCGATTGGCCCGCACTGAAATCTCCACCAATCGCAACGCTAAACGCGCTCGCCGTCGAGAGCGAGTCGATGTGAAATAAACTTACACTAGGACCACTAATATGCGACATCCAGGCAAGAGTGTTTTCAATAACAGCTCTGAGGCTATCTTTTTTACTCTATTGGCCTGGTTGTTATTTTCTATGTTAGTACAGAAGTTTCTCCAGCACTCAGTTTTCCTGGTTCTGATTCTCTTCTTATATTGTTGTCGGGCCTGCGAATAGGCATCCCAATGTTGGTCTAGTCGGAAGTTTTTTGCTTTATTGAACAACTTTCTCACTATACGACGTAGTCTTTCCAGTTCCGGACCCCACCATTGGTGTTTGTTCTGTGTACAGACGAGCTACTTACAGCGAGTTGCCGTGACCCTTTTTTTATTAATAATACATTCATTTCTTCATTTATTTCATTTATTACATTCATTTCTTCTTTTGACTGCACGGATGGCGTAGTAGTTTAAGCGGTCGCCACGCCGCTTCCTACTACGCCGAGTGTTGTGGGTTCAAACCCCACATGGGACGACACTTTGTGTGATCCACAAATTGTTGTTCCAAGTCTGGGTGTTATTTGTGTCCGTTTCATGTATGTTTGTAAAGTCCCCCGCGACACAGGATATTTTCCTAATGCAGGAGTTGTCTTTTTAAAAAAAAAAAAAAATAAAAAAAAAAATTTCTATTTCGCTGTTCATCAATTTAATTTTCTGGTAGTGATTTTTATGCGAGTGTATAGATAGCGTCATATATTCTCTAATATGTATCTATAAAACAGTAAATGAGATGACTATGAAGAAGAAATGGCCACCGTAAGTATTTGTACCAGCTTTATTTAAGAAAGGTATTTGATGAAAAGTGTCACTTCTATTTCACCGTTATAATTTTATAAGGAAAATATTTGATAAACAAAAATAAATACCTAGATGCTTTTTTATTAAAACTTTAATTAAAGCCATATTGTCTTTTTATAGAATCAATAAGAAGTTTTAAATTACTAGGTGTTAGAGTAACCTAAACTTCTTAAAAAAACATTAAACCTTGATCTTGGTCTTATGTCAATATGCAAAGTTGTATACACCTGTTTTACTAAATTATAAAATTTAGGCTCTTATACAACTACTACTACTACATACTACGCTGCAATAAAAAACTTCTGTTATCGAATTAAGAATATATAATTTATTTTAATGTTTTCAAGGAAGTTTAAGTTACTCTTACCTAGTAATTTAAAACATAACAAATTGTATTTAATTGAGAATTTATTTATCTCTGACATTTCTATGGACTTAAGGCCGATAAAACTAGAACTACATTACACATACTTAGGTACTAATATAATTATTTTTTATGCCAATTTCTTAGACCAGCCTTTCCCAAATTGGGCGATAACGCTCCCTTGTGGCCGCTGCAGGCGAACTTGAAAATACCAGACTGGGTGTTGGATCCCTTTTTTAAATGTCAACACAGCAATGCCACCTCAGCTGGAAGAAGAACTTATAGAATTGACAACAAACGAGAAAATAAAAATCAAGTTCACAAACTGCTACCAAGAATTTTGGCTACAAAAACCGTTCCCGCAATTGTACCCTGGCTTGTTGTCAATCGTTCAACGATTCTTGATAGCATTCCCATGGTCATATTTGTGTGAACGTGGATTTAGTGCTGTGGCAAGGCTGCTTACTAAAAAGAGAAATCGTTTGCATGTTACCGAACGTGACGACTTGCGTCTGTTCTTGAGTAAATTGGAACCTGATATCAACAAACTTATTAAATAGCATCAGATTCAACCTTAAGATTAGTTTTATATAAGAATCGATTATGTTTGTTTTATTTTGAATAAAAGATACTCTGTCTGAATACTATGAAGTTGCGTTTCAATAATCATTCTCATTGGCAGGTGTAGCCCGTAAGAGTAAACTTGAGACCTGAGCCTCGTTGTGTACTACCTACTGCGTTCAGGTCTCAAGTTAACTCTTGCGGGTTATAGTAAAAGTCTCTTTTAGAATGAATGTTTAATCTCCCCTAATATAGCTCATAATAATTAATTAATTTAGTTTGAAGTGGTTTTTAAGTAGGTGAAAAAATGGGGGCGCTAAAAAATGATTCATTCTCAAAGTGGCCCACTTTGAGAATAAATTATTGGTTCTAGAGTTACTACTGCGCAACAGACAGTCTCCAAGCTGCAAGAGCTGGGGTTGGAAGCTCTCCCTCATCCGCCATACTCACCAGACCTTGCACCTACCGACTATTACTTTTTCCAAAATTTAGACAACTTTTTAGTGGGTAAAAAATTCAATTCCCGAGAGGCAGTACAAAATGCCTTTGAAGAGTTTGTTGCCTCCCGTCCAGCTGATTTTTACAAGAAGGGCATCAATAAACTGCCAATGCGTTGGCAAAGATGCGTCGATTGCATGGGTGATTACTTCAAATAACAGAAATAAAAAAGTTTGAAAAAATAAGTAGGTACTTACACTTATTGCATACAAAACGGCAATTTCATAGGTAAAGACCTATTATAAGATAGTGTGTGTGTGTATCTACGTGTAAGAAAATTAGTGCGTAATATTAGATACCAGTATTTAGCAGATTTTCAATATGGGCAATATTATGGGTGGCGGTTTTAAGGCGGAATGATGTCTGGTTTATTATAGTATTATTACTTTTAAAAAAATGTTGTAAAAATAGGGTCCCATGTATATACGCCAATCACTTTGATGTCTGAAAGGAAAGAAGGTTTTTTAAAATTAAAACACAACCTGTATTTTAATTTTATAATTTATTCACCTAGTGAGCGTTTGCTAAATTGGAGCTCATTAATCTTCAAATTCGTGTGTATTCGTTACGGCGTCAATGTTTTCAGAAATGTAAATTTTATTCGAGTAGACTGTTAATTTACACCATAATATATTTTTAAATATTTTTCTGTTATGTACAGACAACGAGTTCATGTTTGTATGTAACTCAGACATAGAAGCCTAGTAGTCTGTGCAGGTATTTGTATTAATCAAGTTGAAACACCACCAATACAAATTAAAGTCACATCCAAATTCATGACATGGATTTTCAGACAGAGAAACAAAAAACTCAGAACATTTTTATTCTATGTCCCTAATACAGACCCCTCATATTATTTTTTCATAATTATCTTCAATGTATAAACATCGGCAACATTTTTAATGTATAGAATTAGAATGCAACATCTTCTTCTCAAATTAACTGCTAATGGCAAATGGCGGTTCAGAATTGGTGTAAAGGTAAAAGACCCCTACGTCCTCCTTTTTAGCCTGTAAGCCCATGTAGGTATAGTTTACTGTACAATGTCCGTTTTCAAATTTATGCCAACTTTCACAAGGAAATGCTTTGAAAAGCGTTGCACTATTAATAGATTCATTAAAATATAGGGTTGCACGTAAGTGACTGCAAGAGTCTGTAAACGAAAAAAAGGATTAGGATATAATATAATGTGATTGTAAAAATAATATGATATTAATTATAACGAACATTCAGAGCTTGCTATTAGGATATAAATATGAAATAATGGGATGAGTGGAAATTTTGACAATAGAAAATGCATTTTCCTACATACACGGCTCTCATTGAGTGACTTATCTCACTTATGATAAAAATACCTAGATTTATATCTATACACATACCTGCATTCTCTATTAACTATTTAAAAACCTACATTAAAAGGGAAACGTTGGAAAGAAAAGAGGGATCCGATTTCCGGATTAGCTAGTGTAAGCAATTTAACACGAAACAAGCAATTCCGGACACCACTGCTGGGTTCACCACTGCGGAGTCCTCTAAGGTCTCGTCCGCACAGCGATATTTCACCACTCGTTTTTCTTCGCAAAATTCTGCGGAACTAAATCGCAAAACGTATCGCGTTCATTTTGTATCACATCACATTGCGGATGGTCCTATATAGATCTCATATGTCAAAGAATTTTGTGAAAAAAAAACGCACGGTAAAATATCGCTGTGCGAACGAGACCTTAGAGGACTCCGCAGTGGTGAACCCAGCAGTGGTGTCCGGCAATTGCTTGTTTCGTGTTAAATTGCTTACACTAGCTAATCCGGAAATCGGATCCCTCTTTTCTTTCCAACGTTTCCCTTTTAATGTAAGTTTTTAAATAGTTAATAGAGAATGCAGGTATGTGTATAGATATAAATCTAGGTATTTTTATCATAAGTGAGATAAGTCACTCAATGAGATCCGTGTATGTAGGAAAATGCATTTTCTATTGTCAAAATTTCCACTCATCCCATTATTTCATATTTATATCCTAATAATAATAAAGGTAAAAAAAACGAAAATAATACCGAAAGGTGCTATAATCTGATTACAGCCGGGTTGAGGCGAACTTCCACCATTTGGATAAAAGTCGGCATGTCCTTGACTCTTGTAATACCCATGTACTCCACTGTTAGTATGAATGATATCAACGAATTCAGCGTCAGTTTTGTCTAGACGGCAATGTTCAGGCATCATTGGAAGTTCAAACAAAGGTCGAGCCGGGTCCATTCCTTTACGAAAAGATTATGTTATTTCAATATTTAACACAACTGTGTGACGTAAAAATAAGTGCTAAATATCGGAATAACAACGGATACTTAAGTCAAATATTTTAATTATCACTGAGGTATAGTATAGCTGACGTCAATATTTAGTAATTATATATTACCTTTTAATACTAACGGTAACAATAAAAGAAGATAACAAATGAATAAAGGAAAATAACGGTATTGTTTCTGACGTTGTCCTTTTCTGTACGGAACCTACTGAAAAGAACGTCGTCATATGACATTTTTTTATCAAGGTTACAGTTTGTAGATACCCCTGAAATTGTATTATTACAACAAGGTAACAAACAGATAAAATCACTTCCATATTTACAATATTAGTTAAGAGACCTACTTAATTATTTGTTACTGTCCTGGTCAGAAATAAAAACATAGTTTAAACTTAATAAATAAAATTAGAAAATAGTTAAGTAGCATCAGAAAAAAAATTTGTGAATAGTGCCGTAGTGAGTATTCACCTATCGTTTTCAAAAAAGAAACAATCACACAATTTACAATCCACAAGATGTAATCAATAAAAATGCTGACCTGTAATTCTGTTCAGGGAATAGTTGAAATAATTTGCGGTATGTGCCATGACATGTGCTCCTAAACTATGCCCCATTAAATGCATAGATCTACCGTCAATATCATATGATTTTGCTATGGAATCCAGTAACTTTGCTGTTTGCTTTCCGACATATCTGGTACTAAATGCTGCCCATGGGTATATTGGATTTCTGGATAGTTCATTCCAGTCTATGATAATAACGTTATAATCATTGTTAGACAAAAATTCATTTTTCATATCTTGCAGCCATGTTGCATTCATATTCGTTAACCATCCATGAGTTATAACCTTAACCAAATTGGAGGAATTGAAGTATTGGCTAGTAAAGATTTGGTCACTGTCATTGGGGATATGCAGTTCTTCTGGTTCCGCATTAAGTCTAAAACAAAGCTTTGTTAAAATATCACAACACAATTCTGCGTACTATGGAGGTGTCGTACTGTTAAGATGAACACCCATTTAAGCAAATAATAATATTTTTAAAATAAAAAAATCTACATGAAATATATTTCATCTGTCGTACCTGGTATACAAGTAGTAGTAAGCATCTCCAAATATCAAACCCCTCGTATCATTTGGTATTGCAGTGAAGTTCATTATGTGAGTGCCACTCTCGTCCTGGTAAAGTAGCCATTCGTCTCCGTACCCCGGACCATATTCAGTTTCATTTGGAATGGCGAATACATAAACTGGAATTATCATATGTAATGTGTACATCCATTTTATATATATTTTTCAATACTTTTTAATGTTATTATTACCTGCTGTCAAGGTAAAAGATATAGTTATTTTTGACATAGTTTCAATTAACTTTGATATGTTTCTTAACAAAGCCTTTTTTGTTTGAATGTTCACAGTTCAGTTTTGTATATCATAGGTATATCGAAATTTAAACTTCTTATCTCTGTCTTGTAACGTTTCCGATAGTGAAATAGGTATGCCCTTAACCGTCTTTAGAGTTCCACAACGAAGCTGTAAGTTCCAAGTTACATTGGTTCTCCTCACTTTTAAATTATTGCGTGGCATGTTTACGGGAATTAACGCGCTAACGATAGGTTTGAGTACATTTGTACTCGATGAATTTGATTTCTCTGACGTTTCCACCAATTTACAGTAGCCGTGGTCACAGGCTGACTTCAGGGTAATTCCGGTAAACATAATTATATATTACAATGGCATGGTTCGCATGATTTTCTTGATCTGTTTTCATTACAGGTGTTGATACAGATGCGGCCCATGACCCTTTATGGGTCCGCAGTGCGGGCGCTGCCAGTGCTTACCATCAGGGTCATTAGGGGGTACCGCACGATCTCGTTTGAGGCGGCGAGTCTCCTGGCCGGAACTCCACCGTGGGACCTGGAGGCGACCTGGAGGCGATCTGCATTGGGTCGGAGACAACTGACCGCCGGCCGCCGGGCAGGCCATTATCGCGGCAGTAAGACCCATTATGGAGGATTGGCTCGAGAGGCATCACGGGACCCTCTCATACCGGTGGACGCAGGTGATCACTGGGAAAGGATGCTTCGGGGATCACCTGTGTCTGTGTGAGCCAACGCCACCACTGCGATGGCCGGACCATGGACACGGCGCTCCACACGCTGGCAGAATGCCCGGCGTCGGTGGAGCAGAGGCGTGACCTCGTGGCGGCCATCGGGCTGGGATTTCTCTCGCTCGGTAACATGATTACGGCCATGGTGCGGAGCGAGAGTGCGTTGAACGCCGCGGTCTCCTGCGAGCAAGTTGTGCTCGCGAAAGAACAAACCGGGAGAGGTTTAGAAATCACCCGGCCCGCCAGGCCCGGGCACGGGTCAGGTACCGCAGAACGACCTCCGTCCTCTATAAGCGCAGGCCTGGTGGTGACAGGTGAGGCCATTTGTCACCCTAGCAGAAGCAGGCCGGGGTGGCGACGAGACGCGCTGCGGAGCGCGCGTGCCCTTTCGGAGCACCATGGGAACATGAGGCTTCCCATACAGGAGGGGGTCATCTACCAGCTGTAGATGGCGCGAGGTACGTCTGGGTACCAGGGATTTCCTTTCTAGGGTACACCTGGTTCCCCGGCTAATGGTACCCGAGACGGCGTGCGGTTTTTAGTCGGTTCGAGTCTGACATAGCCATCGGTAGGTGGTATGCGAGGGGATTTCCGCTCAGTAAAGACAAAGGTGTCGATACAGACACTTTTCCTAAAGTAGGCCGGGAGCTGATTTTACGTTACGTTGTAAGATTTTCTTTACTTAGGATAAATTCAGCTGTATCATACAGCTGAATTTATCCTAAGTAAAGAAAATCTATGAAAATATATGAAAGTGTGACCAGTATATTTGTTCTTTAAATACTCTCGCTGGATAAGTCAAACACATGTTATTCTCTAATTTTCACATTTCAAGTAAAAGTGGTCTGTGTATATTTGCCATATTTTTATAGGTTTTTGTTTTTTTTTTCACTTACTGTGAAATGGAAGAGAGTGGGGGGAGACGGGTCAGCTGATGGAGTGAGACTACCGCCGCCCATGAACGCCTGCAACTCAGGCGTCACAAGCGCGTTGTCGGTCTTTTAGGAAGGAGTACGTAATATTTAAAGGTCGTATCGGAAATACCGCAGGCGATCACTTTTTCCACAGATAGGTTCAGTTTTTTTTAGTTATTTCAGTGTTTTAAACTATTTTTGTAAATGTTTTTTTCTGATCACAAAAAAGAAAAATAAAGCCTTTAAAAAGGTTGAAACGACTGCAAACAATATTAACAAAGACCACTAAAAATGAAAATAAATAATTACAAATCTAATTGAAAAAAACCAAAATAAGTGCGACCCTCAATATAAGATATGCCAATTCAATATCAGAAAGCTTTCTGAAAATATTTTTTCACTCTGGAATGTGTAGTTTAAATAATTTTACCCTAGGCTTTTGTAGGAAAAGCCAGAATCTGCCTTGAATAGGATAGAAAAGTAGCAACTTAGTAAATAAAAGAACTAGGAATAAGGTGATTAGTTTTTCATCTAAAACGGTGGTAGTTCGAAATTTGATTCCTTGCTTCCACCGTAAGCAGGCCATTTGGGGAGAAATAATACAACCCATATAATCATAGCAACGTTATTGTATTTTTGAATTGAATCCTTTTTGTGCTTACACAGTAAACACATGATCTCAACACTTATAACTAAAAATATTCTAAAAATGATAATGGATATTTTACTCGAGTTACAAAAATGTTTGCTTGTGCTTATTTCGTTTTCAATCGAGGCAAACTTATTGTGGAATCATTGAAGTAACAATTAAAGTGCTCAGTATGATATTTGGAATATTCACGTACTTTATATAATATCACGTATTGTGCTGAGATATTGTGCATTTTGCCTTATCATTTTAAGATTTGGGTGCCCTGTTTCACCGCATTACATTCTGCCAATGTGCAAATATCTTCGTTTACTTACTTTCCTTTATACAAACTGATAAACACGATTAATTCATATTAATCTAAAATATTGCTATCTTTTTCATTTTAGTCTAGAAATCGTCGAATGATTTTCGGGCTATTTTAATTAGCAATGTTTAATCTTAGTCTTGACTTAGGTATACCAAATAAATTTAAATAATATTGACCTCCAAAGATACTGAATACTACGATAGTCCCTGGCCTACGTCAGCGTATTACTGACATCGAATAAATTCCAGACCAACATGTAGGCATAGTAGAAAAAGTAATAAGGTATGTATACATACAAATCAATTTGAAAATATTAATTTGTAAAGGAAGGATAATTTTATAATGGAAAAGACTAGATATCACATGGTTTGAGCTATATGTATATATTACTCTTGTTTCTTACTCTTGTAAGTACAATTATAATAAATTTGTCAAAATAATACCTAAGTAAATACGCTGTGAATAGTTCACGTTAATTGAATTATAAGTCTTGGTGGTTGTTACATTGATTGTATTATATAATTTGAGATACCGAGTGATATAGGCATTATATTATAAACCTACGCATGCTATTCGATTGTAGTCGTGCATCTACGTATTGTGTGCGATTATCTGTGGTCGCTTTACATCACTGGCTGAATGACACCAAACCAATAAAAAATATGTACATTTCTCTATCACATACTATAAGATGAAATATCAATAACGGAACTATTATTTGACGTCGATTCGTGATATGCCCACCACAGTGGAAGTAACCAATAAGAAACATGAGTTAGGTATCCAGTAACTAACTTTGTCTAGTTTAATAAATTGCAAAGCAATAATTTCTATACCGAAGCATAAACTCGCAATAAACGATCGTGTTTTAGAAATATACAGATAATATTTTTACAGTTGGTCAGTCGAAAATATTGAGCATATATACATACATAATAATTAGTTTTTCTTTAAACGTATTACAATTTATTCATATTGAACAGTGGATAATTTATTGCACAATCGTCGATCCTAATAATCTAAGTGTATGCTATGACAGTAGGTACTTAGAGAACAAGTAAACAAACAAAACAAGGGGTGTATCGTGTCGTTATACATAGCTTAATTCTACAACGTCATCAGCAATGTTCTATTGATGCGCTTGTTCGCTGTCTTTCACGTATTATTACACAGTACGTGTGAACGAAGCATGCGGTTTGAGCGGAGTGCCAACCCACTTTGTAAACCCACTTTCAAATCCTAAATGTGAACAAAGACTTGACAACAAAAGTTGGGTGCTGAAAAACCGACTACAAGTAGGTTGATTTCAAGACGAACAAATTACTATTACAAATAAAAACTAATTTTAAAACTCGTAACTATTTAAATTCATCGCTCTCAAATTCACCATCAACACCTTACTTACGTCAATATTAGCTGTTTCTAACAAAACTGGTATTTTAATTACATTTCTTATTAAAATAAGTGAGTATAATTATTTTCGGCTTTAATCATACCTACGTGTATGTGGTTCTGCTACCAAATGAACGGAATAGAAGGAAACGACTTTGGATAAATTGGTTTATAACCTAATTAAAAAAAAGTGAGGGGGAGGCTTGTCGACTCCGGCCGGAGCCGGTGGGGAGGTGAGCGACACCCAGCTCCAAGTACACGTGTCCACCTGACGCACTCGTGCCATTCTCCTTCGCATAAGACGCTTCCATGCACGCACATAAATAACTACACCTTATCATACCTACCTATCTATTTTTTATGAGTAATTTATTTCAATTTCTTTAAAGCGTACATTTTTATACTTATTTTTAGGAGGTCCTTATCTCGATATCCGAATAAAAAATATTGTGTTACAAATTATAGGTACAAAAAGTGCGACGTGCATGCAAGGAAATATCTAAGAGCACATTTGACACAATAAATAAACCTAATAACGAACATAACACTAAACAGTCTTCATTACGACTGGTCAACTATATAGGTGGGATTGCTCAAGGAACTGATGGCTCAATTATAAATAAATATCAATTAACAGAATCTTGAAGTCCGTTCGGGACTTGGATACGAAAACAACACTCTTTGATAATGTTCACTGAGAATAGATGGGTGACGATACAAAAGAACAGAGTGGCTCGCGGCGACAGATTTCGCGCATCGACACGTCTTCGCTCGAGGTCGCATTGCGCCCTCGCGCATCAGGACTCACTCACACAAACACAAGTGCTCCATACAAGAGGATCCTTAAATATAAACGTGGGAAGTTGTTAGCTCGGCAGTGTCCAATGGCGACGATCCCCAGTGCCTCACTAGCACTGGCGGAAAGGTCTTCAGAACCTCAATCATACCACACCACACCTAAATAAATAAATGTATATAATATCTAATATGTTTTTACATATGTACACTTGTTCCTTTTAAAGTATTGTAACTATATAAATAAAACAAATAAAATAAATTTGTACTTGTAAAATAATTAATTTTCTATTTAAAATATCAAACAAAACTGAGTTTATATGTTATGTATCAATCTAAATTATTTCTAAAATCTACTTAATGATTATTTTGTTGTATAATTATAAAGAAGTCCGCGGCCTCGATGGTCGAGGGTGCGGCTGGCACTGACTGCTTAGGCGTCACTACATCGTAGAATGCGCTACGAAACTTTCTAGTAAACATTATTAACTGAATAAAATTTAATAGGTTAATTAATATTTAATTCTCCTAAATCACATGTGACATAACTACGAATGGCACGCGTCGAGAGGTGAGAGCCATGCAATGCAAGGCTCACCCCCGACCACCAGCCGCGGGGCTCTTTTAGTAAATCGTTATTCGTAATTAGTTACAATAATAACTACAATATAATGTTGGTATGAGCGGTTTCGTGGATGCTCCCCGCTCATACCTAAAGCGTTAAAGTAAACGTCTCTCGCACTGACTGCTCGCCGAACATCTTGTCCTCGTTTTTATAACATTATTTTCATTTGTAAATGGCACATTTTATGCAGCCTGTACAAGCGTGTACTACATGCACACAAATCGATTAAAGTACATGTATACATATCCGATTAAAAAAAAAAAATAAGAGGTGCCTTTAGTGCTAGTGATGTTTACAGCTCCGAATATAATATGTAAGGTACAAGTCAAGACATATCGGAGTGTGATTGAAATCACATTGAAAGTTTTAATTGACATTTATTAGAAAGGAGAACAGGCAGTACGAGCATGAAACGCCACAGCATCCACTTTTATACGTACATTATTACAGTCGCAAATATCCTCGCGACTCGAGTCGTGGTTTCTAAATATCTATCTTTTTAATAGTACTGGTTACCGGCGGCGTCGTCTCTACGCCAGTCACCTGGTGGGATCTTTTAAACACTACATAAACAGTGAACGTACCAAATCATATCTACTTCCGATTTTTCCTCGTATTCTGCATTTTATGTGCAAAGTAACAACGGACAATTTTCACCATCGTTCGTATTCGACCGATGAGTAATGATCGCCGCCAAGCTACACTACATGTTTTATTAAACTAAAACGGAAGTATTTCCCGATTTAGGTTACATTACGTCTGATCTACGCGAGAAAGAGATCAATCGTGGGTCTATAAAATCGAAGGAATCGGTGGGAAGGAAAGCGACTCGCCATTAAATATTGAACGGTCAGCAGACGGTTTCGGCGGGCGTCGGCGGAGAGTGGGGTAATGCGGCCAGCGGGGACAGAACGGACAGTGGAGATAGCGAAGACAACGATGACAATGGAGGCGGTGCGCTCAGCGGTTCTGGTGAGCGCCGTCGTAACGCCTGGCGCTTGCGAAACTCAAGGAATTCTTCTTTCATGGCACGCACGCGCGCCTCCACGTCATCGCGCGACGATCGCGCGCGAGTCCTCTCTGGCGTAGACGGCGTAGGAGTACGTGTGGCGCGGTCCCACTCGTAGTGCACATCCACCGAGCCTGCGTCTCCAACTTCGCCAGAACCGGGTCGGGGTGGTGGCACTGGCGGCGGCGGTCGATAAGGCGGAGGCCGCCATTCCGCCAGGCTGCCCGTCCGACTGCTACGGTTGTGCTGAGATGATGCATTTTTGCTGCCAAAGCCACTAGACGAAGAGCGACTCTCAGGCGATGCCTCGTGAGGCGGCGGTGGCAGCTCTGACATGGGACGAGGCCGCGTATGTCGCGGCGCCGGCCGCACGCGCGCTCGTCCAACGCCGCCCACAACCGCGCTCTGTCGTAGTGACCTAAGCCGAAAGGGTGACGGAGGAGTTGGGAAGGAGCCGTCGGCAGAGCTAGGGAAGGGAACAGAACTAAGGTCAGACACATGTAGTGGCGACCAAGGAGTCCATGCGGCGGCCCAGGGTGGCCAGGGCGGCCAGGGTGGCCAATGAAGCGCCAGTGCTGGCGACGAGGCGCGGAACAGCGGCGGTGCAGCGGCAGGGCGCAAAGGCGCTCGTACGCGCGGCAGAAATCCGCCATCGTCCGATGATGAGGGCGCAGGTGACGGCGAAACAGGCACGGCAAAGGCGCGAGTGGCGCCCACGGCTCGTACGGGCACCCAGTAGCGCGCCTCGCCACCGCATCGGGAAGCCGGCCAAACCCAGTTGGCAGTGAACCGCAGGCACTCGACTATACTCGATATTCCGCGTTCTCTAAATCTGTATCCAGACAGTAGGTATTCATATTCACCAGTAAAAGTTAAAACCAATACCAATTAAATCGCATGCGAGCACTCTCAATTGGTTCATATACACCAAGGCCAATAATGGCAATTAAGATTTAATAGCAAAAAAATTTGCAGCTTGTAGTATGAAACTAACCTGATTTCCTGTTTTAGCAGCGTGAATATATTACACGTAATATTAGTTTTTTAAATAATTAAAAAACCGTGAATGAAAAAAGTGTATTTTTGGTGAAAATAACGAGATGAACTAGTACTTACTTCTTAAAAGGCACTTGAGTGCTATCGGCGGCGCGGAGATCTGTTAGTCGCGCGGCTACCATGTTGTATGCTGCAAGCGAATTATTTCTGAACATTAACGTAGTGAAGACTGCACTCTCCCCGTCCTGCCCTTAGGCCGCCGTCCGCCACCACGCTTACACTATGTACACCAACACCCACCATATTGTCAACGAATAACTAAACGCACACTGGACATGATTGCATTTTAGCACAAACAACACTCTACATATATATGTCTCACGACGCTGTTCGTCTTATGCTTACTATGCTTTGATATATTAGGTCCTTAATATGAAATTAGCGTTTTGTCGTACTGACCACTTGGATCTGAAATATCTCCTCTTTGGTTAAGAAGTCCAAATTCAAATTTTTAAATTCATTTAGCTGGTACATTTCAGTTTTGAAAACAGTCATTCATTTGTTTTTTCCTCATTATTTTTTTCTTTGGCGTCGCTTATTATCGCACAATGGAAAACATGAAATATCGGTATATTTACGAGTACGAGTTATACCGTGGCACCAGTGCTGCAGAAACAACTCGAAGGATGAATGATGTGTGCGGCGCTGGTGTCGCAAAAGAAAACACGGTACGTTTTTGGTTTCAACGTTTTCGTTATGGAAATTTCGTCCTTCAGAATCAACTCCGCGGACGATGAAAGTGGAAAATGAAGAATTAAAGGCTATTGTGGAAGCAGATCCATCACAAAGCACTTCAGAGATAGCTGCAGCCTTCGGGGTAAGTGATAAAACTATATTAATCCACTTGAAGCAAATCGGGAAAGTAAAAAAACTTAAACGATGGGTACCTCATGAATTGAGTGAATCGAACTTGCAAACACGCGTCGACTGCTGTGTTACTTTGCTCAACCGACACAATAATGAAGGGAATTTTTAATCGAATCATTACTTGTGATGAAAAGTGGATACTGTACGATAATCAGAAGCGCTCGTCGCAATGGCTGAACCCTGGAGACCTACCCAAATCCTGCCCTAAACGAAAATTGACTCAGAAAAAGTTAGTTGTGAGTGTTCGGTGGACTAGCGCCGGTGTCGTTCACTACAGCTTTCTAAAAACCATGAAGGAAGAATCAGCTGCTAAACAACCGAGATTGGTCAATCGCTCTAGGCCACTGCTGCTTCACGACAACGCAAGGCCACACACTGCACAACAAACAACCACTAAGTTAGATGAGCTACAATTGGATTGTCTGTGACAACCACCGTACTCCCCAGATTACCATTTTTTCAGAAATATGGACAACTTCTTACAAGGAAAAAAAATTCAACTCCGATGCGGCAGTCCAAACCGCCTTCAAAGAGTTTATTGATTCTCGCCCCCATGGTTTTTTTAGTAAAGGGATAAATGAACTACCTGTGAGATGCATAGATAACAACGGTGCATACTTTGATCAATTAAATATATTTTAATATAAAAAAAAATGACTTTATGACCCGTACGGGTGGAATATAAAGCCAAAAATAAACGCCAATTTCATATGTAAGGACCTAATATTTGTAAATAAATAGCCTTGCTTTCAAACAAAATATAGGTACATTTTAGTATATGTAAGTTCGCTAGCAACTATACTACCCGATCGAGGGTAAGCTAATTACCTAGTGATGTCTATGAATAGACGCAAAGCCATGGGCGTACCCCATGGCTTAGGGTCTATATGGGCAGGGCAAAATTAAGTAAACCAGGTAAATTATTGGAATTCAGCGTATTTTTTACTCCTAACCTTACTTCAATTGTAACATATGAGGATTTCGTCAAAACTTGTTTAAAATTTAGTTTATTTTATTTTATGCTTCCAGAACTCTCTTCCTATGCACACTCATAATGCAGAGGCCGATAAGTCTGTTTTCTGTCATTGTCGATAGTAGCCAAGTTTTTACTCTGCGTAAAGTATTAAAAGACCTTTCCATTCTGGTCCTAACTGGATTATTCTTTTTATAATTTGATAATTTAACTATTTTTGATATATTTTTTATTTTGCTCTGTCAAGACTCCGACACGTTATTGGTTCGGTGCTTTTCTCCGAAGACACTGAGAGTTTTAACAGTAATGATATTGTATTGTAGCCAAAAACATTGCAAGTCATTAAAAAATTTACGGATTTGAATATTATTGGTGTTGTACCGGGATTTAACATCCGGCACCGATTTAGTAAATAGTAATTACTTTTGTAAACACGGCATTTTCTTTAAACAAAGACTGCCTGGGGGATAAAATAGAGATCGCGTAGCCACGACATTCTAAATAGTCAAATACCCAATGATATTTCAAATCGTTTAGAATGTCGTGTTTTATTGTAATTTACGGCCTGTATAACTTTCATTGTACAGAATTTTGTATCATTACAGGCTTGAGTTGTATTTTTATCAATGATATATATATATATATATTCGTGTACATATAATATATTCGTGTGTATTTATAATACGTATATATATAAATACGAATTAACATAATTATTTGGAATGTACCGCAATATATTTTGTAAGATTTTTACTGCTGCATAGTGTTGACCATCGTAAGAAATAAACTAAAACATATTTATTTAAAAAAAAATCCAGTGCACGTTATACAACCAAATGTATTTTGTGACATGACGGCGTTAAAATTCAAAGCATGCATTTATTTACAAAACTAGTAAAAAATATTGTTTAGAATGAAAAAGCTTTGCAACCCAATAAATAGTTATTTAAATTAAATGTCATGAAAAAATTGAGATAAAAATATATAATAATGTAAAGGTACAGTCATTGTATTTTGAAGTCTTGTAACAGTACGCGTCATTAATATTACAATGTATGTAAAACAATATTAAATAATACCATTATTAGAATTTGTAACTAATCCAAAACTTGATGGTGATATTTTTTGTCTGACAGGTATTTTTATAATATGGCCATACCTTTTCGTTAGCATTTTTGTGAATTTTTTAAGAAGTTCAAAGAGAGGTATACAGAATGCCTTATGTGCAATATAAGAAACATAAAAACTATGGCTGTCTTCACCTCATTAGCATAACGGTTTCCAAGTTACACATAGATAGCCATGCAAAAAACTGACATGTACAACGATGATGAGTAGCATGTATATGGTGACATGAAATAAGGTTACATGAAACGAAGAACATGTAAATAGCCGACAATATGGTAAGTTATGCTAAGAGTTTTGTATTTTTCTACTTAAGAGATAACGCTTATTTCTTTTGTAATCCATTCCGTGAGCTGCGTTGCGGTTATCAAATTTAGAGCGACTAGTTTATTATGTAACTTAGACTAAGCAAAGTTGTTAGTTATATCTACTAACTTTGCTTTATCTTACCATGCCTTCATAAGTAAGCTTTGTGCATATTGAAAAAACAATTCCTAACAATCATACCAATTCGTCGCTTTAGGTATTAGTTATCTTTGTGTTTTAAAGTATTTGTTGATTAAATCTTTGTTATGGCAAACTAACTAGGTTGCGCCTTATGAAAGCGTGTATTCGACATTCTGAATTGATAAATAGGAGTGTCGTCATTTAATAGTTTTTAGATTTGTAACTTTTAATCTTCAATTTCTATGCTCAAAAGTTGTGCTACAGTAAAGAGACTGCTATTTCCCACCTACATAATGTCTACTTATCGACTACAGAGTTCCATAATAATCTAGTGCATAGATACGTAGTCGCGATAAGGGAGTCACTTGTTAAGGCGGCGGACAAGCGGCCGCTGGTACGAAATCGTGCTCACCTTTCTCCTGCTTACGCCGTTTTCGTTTGTTGCAGATCTTGACCGCGCACACGGACAGGATAATGGCCACTATAAAGAACAAAATGCCGCCAACCACGCCCGCCGTGATGGCTTTATGTTTTACTCTCGCCGGCACAGGGAACTTCACTTCTTCCGAACTCTCATAGCTGGTTGCCGAGTTGGCCAACACTCTGAAGTAGTATGTACGACCACCGACTAGATTCTTCACTGAAAATATGCATACATACATATAACTTAAGTATAAGCAAACCAACAAGGTCAAGTGTTACAGGTAATTTATCTCGAATATCATAAATATGTGGCCCAACATTTGTGATATTTAATTTGGTCTAGAGTTTAGAGCAGAGTAAGAGTTTATGTGATATGAGACTAGTAATTAGCTAGTTACCGAGGTAGCTGGTCTCCTCTGGGCGGATCTGGCCGCGGTTCAGCGTCTTCCACTGTGCGTCGGTGCGGTACTTGATGGTGTAATACTGTACGAGTGCAGCGCGCTCTAGCGGCGCCTGCCACGTGATTAGGAACCCATTGTGCACCTCCGTCACTGTCAGGTTGCGCGGCGGACCCGACTTTGGGCCTGCACATAAAATACGCCAGGTTAATGACCGTTTTTACCAAACACTACGCAAAATAAAAATAAAAAATACCATTTTGTAAGAGTACTGTAAGAAAACAAAAACCCTTAATTTATAGGGGTTCTTGTCCCGGGAGTAATTTTAGTCAGGAATCTCAGAAACACGTTCTTGCGTACTTTCTTCAATAGACGTGAATTATTCTTATATGTATACTCTTTCAAAATTGAAACTGAAAAGCCAACTAAACTAATCAAGACTACAATAAAAAAAACTAAGTAAAATAATAAATACGTATGATAAAATTCACCTTCGTGGCACTAAAAGACCACTCACACAATTCAGTGAACAAAACATATGTAAGCATGCATATCGTATTAAACATGGCATGTTAATATTTACTACTAATAATTACTACAAGGAGGTAAATAAAAAGAGGTCAAAGAAGACAGGTTAATTGTGCAATATTTGTATACCAGAGCCTTCAGGTGCGTTTTGAAATATCTTTTCGTCTACAGGCCCGGCTGGAGTTGGTGCCGCCTTCGGTTTGGCGCCTACATCTACAAAAGCAATACCATGTTAGTTTTCAGCTACCAAACCTCGTCAGTCGTCACACTTTCTTCTTCGTCCTGGGATCATTAGTAAGGCTGTGAACTGGGTCTGGGCACAAAACTATAAAGCAGTCCTTTATAAAAGTTAACCAGTCTTGTACCCGGGTAATTAAACGTATAGACCCCAACTGCACTACTGAATTGCCAAAGAGTTATGATCATATAATAATATGTTTAACTACTTGTACATTCCTCAAGTTTGTAAGAAACATACAATCAGCATATAAATGTTAGACCATCACCGACACCGACACAGAAAGTGAAGTAAAGAAAGAATATCTCTTACCTAGAGTCCTGATAGTGATGGCTTTACTCATCATTCCCTCTCCTATAGTGTTTTTGCTGTTTACTTGAAACTCGTATGTGGTTCCAGGTTGAAGGCGGTTTATAGTAACCTAGTACAAACGTCGGATTAAACCATTGTGTATATCATTAAAAGATGATTTGGCAGTGAAAAGTAGTGTTTGTGACATCTTTGTTTTCAGCACCAACTCTTTTTAATATCTTTCCTTAATTTATGTATGTTGGTAAATAGTTATCATCAAGGATAATACCAAGAGTATTAAGTGGACAATTACAACGTAGCAATGTTGATTTTTCTTCAGTATTAAATTTCATCGGGATATATCGGGGTTTTTAAACAAAGTGTTAGTTGTGAATTTTCCTCTTTGTAATTACTACTTAGCTACGGATGGCCTGAGTCTTCACCGCGACCACGTATTATGTTTAACGAAATCAAATATTCTATTCTCCTTTTAACCTTTATATACTCGTATCAATTTTGTATACAAGGTGATAATACAAATATCCTTTGTTGTGAAAAGAAAATTTATAATTACAATGGTACATTGAAAGAACATACCAATTACAACATGTTGTACATAAGTGCGACCATCGTAGAAAGTTTTGCTATTTAGGAACATGGTATAATTACATTATTATGTGTGACAACTACTTTTTTAATAACAAATTAGTTTTCTTCTTTTACAAATTTAGTTTCCTAACTTAATATTTAAAATTACTATAACGAGTAGGTACTACGTATTACAATAAAAGTGTATGATTATTGCAAAGATGGCCAAGCTTAATAAGAGAAGTTGATAGGTCGTGTAATATTCACTACCGGTGTTATAGCATTAAAAGTTTCCATTACACTAAGTATTAAAAGATATGTTTGCGGTTTGGGTGTATATGATACAGTATAAAATAAGTTAAATGCAGAACCTAATCATAAATATAATAGGAATAATATATGTTCACCCTAATAACAGAGAAATTAATTTATTTATATAGGTATCTAACCAATTGTTGATCAAATGATGGATACTTCTACGAGTATCAGTAGTAGGCGACTATTTAACAAGTTTTTGTATTTCTGTTTACATGCAATAAAAAGCTGTTCATCGAAAACTACACAACTACATTTGTTTGTTGTTAATATTTAGGTATATCAATTTGTTAGCAGTTCTTAAATAGACAATATGGTGTACAGGAATGAGTAAGGCACTTACAAAAGTAGCACCGGAGGGTGTGACTGGCACCTTGGTCCACTCTGAGAAGCCCGCTTCTCTGTACCAGATAGTGTAGTCCTGCTTGTAGTCGGGTCCGCCCGCATAGCCAGGTTGCCAGCGTAACGTCACTTGGAACTCGGTCGCAGTGCCCGACACATTGTACGGAGCATGGGGTTGTGTGCCTTCTATTACTAACTGTGTGTCTGCTACTATTGTTGCTACCTATAATAATATTTATTTATTGCATTTGAACCTATTTCTAAACATTTTGATAACAGAACTACGTTTAACAATTTTAGAGTTGGAATACACAGAATACAAAAATAAACACGGTATTTTTTTAATTTTGACTAATTTAGAAGGGAGAGTTAGATTTTGGGTTTTAACGGACAGGGATGGGCTGTTGGTCCCTAAAGTCCACTAAAGTTAATAAAGAAGACCTAGATTATATTGTGACTGTTTAAAACATGTGATGCGTTACCTCGTTGGAGGCGACGCACTGGTAGATGCCAAAGTCCTGGCGTCGTAGTGTATCGATGGTGATATTCCCGCCGAGCGCGCGCACGCGGCTCTTCTGCAGCGGCAGCCCGTCCCGGCGCCGCCACGTAACCGACGGCCTTTGCGTGCCCTCTGCCTCCTGAGCTTCGCAGTGCATCTCGACCGACTCGCCCACCTGTAATGGTACGTGACGTTCAAGCCCACATTCCTAAAAATAACATACATGAGAACGAAAGCATCAAGACAAGGAAAGCGAGTGTTTCACAATAGTTTGTTTTCAAGTAAGCAATGATCTATAAAAGGATATATGGCCGCTATTCTGTACAATAAATTTGTTATACAGCCAGATATCGGATATTAAATTAAGGTATTATATTTTATTCACATTTTATGCAGAAAGAGCAAAATTGTGCTCAAAAAATCACAATTTATTTATTTACCATATATCACATAGCTTTTATTTATTTACAACTTTTCTACTGTGAAAGTAAACATTTGGTTGCGCTTGTGTTCACAGACAAAGCCAGATTTGTTAATGTATCATTTTGGAATTGCTTAAACTTCAAGCTTGTATACTTACAATTGAGATTTTGTACTAAGAAGTTATAAATATTTATTGTGTAATGGGAAATAATGTCACTCAATTAACCATGGTGTAAAAAATACCTCACCTTTCTTTGGTACAAGGGTTCTGGTTCAACGGTGAACACTGGGGGTTTACGAACTAAAACTTCCATTGGACCTGAAATAACATTGTGATTAAAAAGTTTTCTTAGCTCAGTGCTTTTAAAGTATAGGTATAAAAATTAAATCTAGTTCCTAGTGCTATGGAAAAGCATGTATAAACACGCCACCGTATGTATCTTGACTTTTTTACGAGATATCTGTTTGAATACAATTAAGTAAGTGTCAAGTATTATATTTCCTATTGTATTCCTTACCAAACACACCAAGTTCTTATCTTATTCAACTCCTCTATTATTACTTATGAGTATGAGTAACTGCGTTGCAACACTTACAAGGAGAGTCACGATTGATTGTCTTTTCTACATAATTAAAACACACCTCAATAATTTGAATACCAGTCAATCTACACCTAATAAAGTGTGCATAATATATTAATTTATTTTTTAATTATTAATTAATTGATATACATATTTCCTGTTTATGTAGTAAGTTACAATATCTGTAAATGCAGCACAAGTATTTGCGTTTGGATTGATTTTGATTAATACGTTAATAAGAAAAAACCTTGTGAGTTACGCGATTAGCCTATTGGAACCAAGTTAATTCTAATGGTCATTAAAGCCCATTAAAGGCACCCGGCACCCGACCAGCACCGTCTCGTCTCTAGCGGTTAGTATTCTTTGTATGGAGTACTATGGGTAAACGCTCACTACATGATCTCCGGAGAGCCTCGGCCGCGGCTTGACCACACGCGTGATCGGGCGCTGTAAGCTAGCCATGATTCTCGTATTGTTTTCTGGTTAACAACGCGGCGTCCACCCGTGGAGCACACGTTGACAACGAGTGGACACCGGTGTCGAAGTGCTCGGTCGGGCGTCGGGTGGTTGTCATGACCTTAGGTCTCTTTACGTTTTTTCTCCTACTACATTTAATACTTTCTTTTTTATTGTCAGGATACATCTGACACATGTCTTATATTGTTTCTCCATAAAAAATGTCCTACCTTTTATCCTCTTAGGTATCGAATGTTTTAAGTTTTACCTGAAGAGCCTTGCGTTCCTTGTGCGTTATAAGGCGTGCACGTGTATCTTCCCTGATGGTTCTGGTTGACTCGGGTGAACAGCAGGGAACCATTGTTCATGATAACAATGTCCTTCGTCTGATACGGCTCCAGCAGGCGCTTGTCCTTGGTCCAGGTCACATATTGAAGAGGTGGGTTTGCTTTTATGTAACATTGTACGACGCCCGCCAAACGAAACGGTAGATACTGCACGGTTGGTGTAAAGGTTACTTTGGCAGGATCTGGAACAAATATCGGTTAGTTAATTGTTTGTTCCATTACCAACCTACATTTATAGCATAGTATTTGGGAATCAGAATCAATTACTACAACAGACAGGCTCAGATAACTATTGGGGCTGTTGGTGTAGTGGTTAGTGACCACACATGAGTATGCTTGTGTATGTGTGTGCCTGTGGTTATGTTTAACTTTGTAGCACAAGTAGGCTTTCTGTATCATCATAGGTTAGGTTTTGTAGCCATGTTGTTAATACTGTTTTTAACTTATATTTATTACAGGAATATATGCAAAGGGTAGCATTAATTTTGTTATATAGGTATCGGTCCAAAAAACAGTAGAACCAGTAGAACCTATGGGTTAAAGTGTTTTTATGGATGTCAGCTTGAAAGATTTTATGTTTTCCACGTTTTGCTGCAATAATTAGAGTGCCGTAGTAAGTTTGTAAGTGAAACTGAGGAATAAGACGAAAAACAAAAAGTTGAAGAACTGTAAGGACATCAAACCTTTGTTATAAGTCTCTTGTGGGATACAAAAAAAGGTAGGCAAAGTGCTACCCTTAAGACTGCCCTTTTTGCACGTTCCAATTTGATCAATTTGGTTTCATTCCTCTGAAGGAGATGATTATTAGCAGTATGTTTACCTTTGTTTAAATATATTACAAATTGAGATACAAACGTTTTCTGTATTCCTTTAAATCATTCTTTAGGGGCATCACGAGCACCGCACCTATTAGTGATACCTATGTATTGGAACGCTTTTGAATGAAATTAATAATGAGCGTACCTTTTTGTTTGTGGCTAAAATCTAAAAGAGATGCCCCTGAGTAAACGGCGGTAGCGTAATAGCTTAGTCGTCGGACTTGCTATTGAGTGGTTGTGAGATCGAACTCCACCCAGTGCACTAACTCCGTAAATTAACTCCTAACACAAGCATTTCGCTAAACCTGTATTTACTAAGCTAAATGAGCTCAGTTTAATGAGATTAAAATCTAGAAGGATGATATATATGCTCACATTCAACATTCAAATAAGCAGAAGCGCTCTGAGGATCTCCGATTCCATTGGACACTTCGCAGAGATACTGCCCCGAGTCATCCGCGGCAACAGGATTTATCACTAAAGCACCGTCTCGTCGTATGGTAACTCGCGTCTCCAGTGCAGCCACTTCAGCGACGGGCGCACCCTCGCGGAACCACTTCACAGTTACATTGCCTGGTAGGGCCTTCGCTTCGCACGAGAACTGCACTTTTTCTCCTTCTAACTTTGTCTGATTGGTTGGTGGCATCTGAAATATAATATATTATTTGTTTATATACTTACATATGTAAATTAGACCAATTTCGAAAATTATCACGTCTATTTCCTTATTAGTTTCACCTACAACTGGTACAGGTTTTCTTAAAATTTAGCAATATCAACTAACGAATACAATGTCTTAAAAAAATATGCTAAAGAAAAACTTAACATACTGCAGATGCAAATTACTCGCGGGAATTCGAACGATGCGATCGAGTGAGAGGGATTTTTTACAACATTACTGTAAAATAATAACTACATAGAAAAATAGATATCTGTTTTAGTTTTTTTTTTAAGTTTTCTTTAAAAACTGCTGAAATACGAAGTTTTGATTCTTTGTCTTTTTTTTAACACACAGTGATAAACAATGAAAGAGAAGACCTTCTCTGCTATTTTTTTTAATACTCTTTATACTCTCTATGTTTATAAAGTGGGCATTTATAAATAAATTTATCTTAATGCTAGTAGAAATGTTACATTAATTTGACGACTGGATGGTGTAGTGGTTTGTGTAACGGACTGCTATTCCGAAGGTCGCGGGTTCGATTCCCGCTCAGGTCAAACATTTGTGTGCATGAACATTTGATGTTTGATTTGGTCTGGGTGTTTCTATGTATAATATGTATGTATTTACAAAAAAAAAAAAAGTATATATGTATTTATATCAGTTGTCTAGTACCCATAGTACAAGCTCTGCTTAGTTTGGGACTAGATGGCGTTGTGTGAAGGTGAAAAAAAAAAAGAAAAAAAAAAAAAAAAAAAAAAAAAAAAAATTAAATCTTGTTATAAGTAGTGATCATAGCTAATTATCTGGTAGTGACTTACAGTGATGACGGCTCCACCAGCGATGATAACCCGAGCAGTATGTGAAACCTGTCCCTCGCCATTACGCGCGATGCACGTGTAGTCTCCAATATCTTCGTGACGTATGTTACTGATCCGCAGCTCGGTGCCATCGTTGAATATACCCACCGTCCCCGAAGGCTCCACGGGATTCGCATCTTTGTACCAAAGTATCTCCGGGGTCGGAGTACCCTCCGCTTGACAGTTAAGAATAATGGCGTCTCCTGAAAACATTCGTATATATCATTATCATATCAAATATTACATGACCATATTATCAGATCTTTAACTAGTTTCGAAACCGATACTCAATGAAGAGGTTTTATTGAATGAACTTTGACCTAGAGCATAAATTCATTATTAGTTTACGTTAAAACATATCATTACGAAAATCACATAGATATAATCTTTAAAGATCTACCTAAATTAACGTAAATAATGTCTTCCGGTGTGATGGAGAAGCGTGGTGGCGCGTGCACGTCCAAGTGGAACCATGTACCATTCTTGTGCGCGTTGGGTGAACGGTTGAGGAATACCACCTTACACTCGTACCAACCCTGATACATAAGAAAAGTCTATAGAATATCAATATTAATAACCTTAATTATCAAGTGGGATTAGTCAAATCTTGCAAAGTCATAAGCAGTTTTGAGTATTAACCTTCTTTCTATTTTACTTCAATAGCTGAGATTTTTTACATTATGGACGTACCTGATCGGACTCTCGGATATTGGTGAGGTTGAGACTTGCTGCGCCATAGGGCGAGTCGGGCGCGACTTTCGACACACGGTTCTCGTACCCCTCCCCGCTATGCGTCGGGTAGCTCTCGTACCAGATGTAGATCGGGATGTCCTGCCCCTATACATCATAAAATGTCTATTAGCAGAACTCTAAACCACAGCTGGTGCGATTTCTTTACCACTACCACTTATGATACATTTCTAAATACCTACTTATATCTAATTACGTCTCGCCTCATAACTGCTTTCTGAACTACACATTTCCCATTCTGTTTAAAGCTCTTAAGACGATACGATGCCTTTTCACAAACATTGAGACAATCAGATGCATCTTCTTGTAACATACTGTGCAATCGACCGAGTTACAACTGCACTTTGACGTCATATGATTTGTTTTGTAGTTACAAGATATGAACTATCTACATAAGGATATAAAAACATGCAATGGTGAGAAAAAATATAGTCTCTTTTATATTATATTATATGTACCTATATATCTATATAATATAATTAATTTTGCCACATGTACATGTCTGTACATGTGGCAAAATTAAAATTGAATGTAGGTAGTATGCAATATGATAAAGATTTATTTAGATATTGGAACTTGTGCCTAACTTATATATTACGAAGGCTCAAAAAACGTAAGACTGTATGAATTGTATAGGACATGCAAAAAGTGAGAAGAGGGAAACTTAAAGCTTACTACTGCATGCAACAAAGTAGATGAAACTGTGCAGTATATTACAGTTCTTCAAAATATATGTTCTTAGACAAGCTTTACTAACCCATTAATAGTATAAAATAAACATAAGTATTTCCGCACAAACGAGTTTTCGAGTCAAGCCTGCCCAATGATATATTTTGAAGTATGGCTGCAATAGGATACAATACAAAATACATATGTCAAGTCTCGTACATGAACTACAATTGCCGACAGAGCGTGGGAGAAGCCCACAGCCACAGAAAGAGAGAAACAGACAGAACCGCCGCCAGTGCGCGGGGAGTGCGCGTGCCCCGTGTCAGCCGTGTAAGCGATAGTGCTCCCGATACTATCTTAAAAAAGTAACAACGGTGCACCCAAAAAACAAAATAATAAGAGGAAAAACTTATTATATATGTAAAGTGGCAGTGTATGTGTATGTTCGTTATCTAACGGGGGTCTGCTGCTCTCTCGGACTCGCTTTGAAGGCCTTTATCACTGTGGTTAAGTTGAACCGGTCGTGTGACGAGCGCGGTAGGTACACGAGGCTATATACGCAGAAGAGGCAGAGATACACAAAAAGGCGTGCGAAGGGCGCACGCGGGGCGAGGGCAGCGGGGCGAAGTCCCCGGCCCGCGGCGCCCGCGCTTTACCACTAGCACGGGACAATACGAGGTGTCGTTGCCGACACAGGCACGAGATATACTTTACATTCTGCGGGGCACGTCGCGCGGACGAGCCGTCCTCTACTGAACAGAAACACACACACGGTAGATGAGCAGCGTTGTATTGTAAGAGTAGAGTGTGGGCCGTCGTACCGTTTCGCCTACCTTCTTCTCCCACTGCAAGACGTACGGCACCGGGATGTCTTCCGGAAAGTCCACTTGGCAATTGAACACGACGCTCTCACCGAGAATTGCCGTGATATGCACAGCATCTTGATGGTCTTGGTGACAGGTTACTGAATCAAAGTAAAGTACTCATAGTTTAGTTTAAACATATTCACATCGACATAATTGGCTCATCTTAATCATAACGTATAAAGGTAGGGTTTAAGAGTATGAGCTGACCTGGCAGGTTGACTAGCAGCAGTAGGAGCAAGCCGGCGGCGATGTGCGGCGGTTGCACGGCGCGCCAGCCCATGCCTGCGCTCCCATGTCACGGCCGCGCGCGGCGACTCATCGTTGATGCATCACCTGCCACATAAAATATTGCATATCCACTTGGCTAGTAACAACTCATCATTTTTCCGAACAGCCAATACTTATCAAATATTCAGTCCCGTCAGACGTATAACGACCACATTTCGTATTCCATTAATAAATAAACATTCAATAGCCTTTTTTAGATTTTTAATGATATGCTTATTGAATAGTGTTTACGAAGTCTTTATTAAATATCCACTTCATAAGTAATTAAATTGAACTTTTCTCAGCGCATTATTCGGATTGTTCTTACTGTGAATGTAACGATGCATAAATAATATTGGTTGGCATTGTACAGATATATTGCACAGATGTTAAGATATCGTCGGGCCTATTAATCTTATGGTTAGTGACCCTGACTGCCAAGCTAGAGGGTTCGATTCCCACCCAGGACCAATATTTGTATGATGAGTACGATCATTTGTTCTGCGTCTAGGTGTCATTTATTTATAATATGTATATATTTAGAAACTTCAACATTATCGTCAACAGCCTTTAATTGTCCACTGCTGGACATAGGCCTCTCCTATGAAAGGAGGATTTGGCCTTCTATACAACACCGGTCAGACGGATCGCTATAGGTTTTGTTTCAAGTTTTCCACCTCTTGGCAGTGCTGTTGTCTTGCTAAAATTGTACGGTGCCTGTCTACTTGCTCCTTTACTCCGCTCTAACGACACTCACGGGATGAATAGGGCTGGTGACACTCTCATATAAAAGAATCTTTAACTTATATAAACAGTGTATCCATGTATGTAGTAACAATATTTAATCCAGGATCAAGCCCGTTTGACCGCAACCAGAAATGGATGTCAAGTTTGATGGGTTAAGTGAGGTTTGCTCTACAGTGACGGAGGTCAAAATGAACATGGATTAGAAGATGCGTGTAACAAATATTTACCGTAAGATCGGATCTGGAACGTCTCAGATGGCTGAATTGTATCAATCATTAAAGCAGAAGCATACCATAACACAGAATCTACAGGAAGACCAAGATATAGCGAGTTCTCTCACCCGACTCAAAACCGCTGTAGAAGAAAAGTTGAAACCACAGGAACTTAGCTCTTTTGTTGATATGATAAAAAGTGGTGCAGATAAGTTCACTCGTCTGAGCACTATTAAACGCAAACGCAATATACGAATCAATGTCATATGCAAGGGAGTTGTGTTAGAAGCTTGGCTCTACATGAGATCTGAAAACTTTTTGGACAGTGCGAGCCATATGCTCTCGTCTTGGATATTTCTAGAGGTGGGAATGATAACAACGTACATTATATATAGGGCGTTGAAGAAAACATAAGTACAGTGCTAGCCTTGCACTAGGTCTAAAGGGACTTTACATTATCTAGCTGTTCTCCAGGTATTGTTAGTACATGGACTTTAAATATCGCTTTAGGTTTTTCACCCCGAGTTTGGTTTATTTCGGTTGTTACTCTCTCTAAATTAGTAATATTTGATGTTTCATGAAGTTAATGTTAATATGGAAGCCATATAAAACAAATGACGTTATAATAGCCGTATTCAAAAGATCCGATACGAGAAGAACCAAAATATGTGTATCAATATGGTCTCGCAAATAGCTATTGTAAATTAGTTCGGAATTATTCTATTGTTTGTACATGACCTCGCAGTAGAAGTTAGAGATATGTTATGGCCATCGCTCATTACGCATGACTTCTGTCAATAGAATCAAGCAGAACATCATGGAACTATTTCAAGTGTCTCATACCAATCAATGTTCTATGAGGCTGTGTGTGACTTCAAGTATTTAGAAGACCTACTTATATTCCTAAAAAAATCTTGCAATATTTTAGAGTTCTATCAAACAGGCATTTTCTGTTACATCTTAAATAAGTTTAATGTGTTCACCTTTGCACGCATATAAGCCAAATTCAACATGAGACATTCATTTTTCAACATATGTTAGGCCTTTACTTGAGTCTTCCATAAAAATGGGTCTTAGGCCGTCTACATCCAACGACTCTCTGAGTCTAGTCCGACCATGTCTTGTTGTAGCTAGTTCTTAGTCTAAATGAATTACTTAAATTTAGTTCAAAAACACATTGTCAACGTATGTCGGATGCTTTTCTTTTGAAGTCTGCCAGTTAGGTAAAGCAGTATTTTTGGAGTATTTTAAACTTACATGACTGTACTAGACAAAGTGCCAGACAAAGTTAGTTATCAACTTTCTAAGTAAGTTACTATAGAAAAATATGATATTCTATTTCTTCCATAAATAGCTAACTAGACCGACTTTGTACTGGCAAAATTGCAATAATTTGTTGTAATTTTCACTACAAATTTATATTAGTTACCTATTTTATTAATTCCCCTCAATTTTCTAACTCTAATCCACTTTTTGAATATTTCTTTCCGTTCACCCTATCGTGTAAACCCCATATATATATTTTAAATTAATTGTAACTAGTTAAATAATGAAACGGTTAAATATGTAGGTAATTTTACTGTTTATAGCAGTGATGTTAAGGTAGACGATATATAAAAGGTAGGTGGCCTTTGAAACATGGCTTGTCCTTGGACTATTTCCCTGCCAAGTAATTGCACTGCATCACGGCATATAAATCGACCTACACTTTTGCCCCATACTACCTGGTTTCGGCATCACTATTTAGATATTCGCCTACTTGAATGGGAATGAAATGTAAATTAAATTAAATTGCAACACATATACCCTTCATCTCATAACGCATTAGTACCAGTTACCAAACTGCAGTGGTTTAAGTGGTTGCCACGCCGCTTACTACTACGCTGAGTGCTGTGGGTACGATCCCCACATTTGACGACACTTTGTATGATCCACAAAAAGGTGTTCTGAGTCTGGGTATTCGTTGTGTCCGTTTCATGTATGTTTGTAAAGTCCAGTGACACAGGATATATTCCTAATGCGGGAGTTGTCTTTTTAAAAAAGAAAAAAACTATAAAAACTAGCTGTACCCACCACGCTTTGCTGTGGCACACTGTTGTTGCATAACTGACTCGAAAAATATATAAAAACAATCTATGAAGCAACTTGTATCGTGTCAAAGTTTAAGCTTCATCGGTTTTTAAAGCGTACACAAACCAACTTTTATAAAACAATTTCTTATATAATATATAAATCGTCATAAAAAAAACTATTTCCTACAACCTTTGTTAAAAAAGGAGTTGATCAGCATTAGTTCTCCAAAGTACCTATGTGCGTAACGTATGTTAGATACCTAATTCTTGATTGACCAGTGCGTTTAGTGCGAACACATTCAGATATCCGGCTTAGTCTTTCAACCATTTCATCTGTTATGATACCCGGCTCGGCGTTGCTCGTCGCGTTCTTCCTTAACTCTCTTTAGCTAACAGGTTTGTTTCGTAATGTACGCAGGTGCTTAGCGGACACGAGTAAAAAGAACACAGGTGTGTTAAATAGGCCGGCAGTGTTAGCACGTCGTTTGCGTTCTACGTCTGAAAATAATGTGAGAACACTGCATTCAATATACTCCACAATTTAGGTCGAAGCAGCGTTTACAGTGTCTAAATTGAGAGTGCTCTGAAACATATGGTATTAGCCACATCGATTCTGACATCTGACATGTATACACATACTGATCGCATTCCACTTCATCATTAGTTCTCACGAATGGATGACGCAAGGGGGTTGCCACACTATTAAAAGATTCCGACTTGTGCTCGCGAATTTTCCTTTTTTAGTAGCACTTCTTGACGATAATCTCCCCATTAGTATTTAAGCTACAATTATAAATCCATATGAGAAACAAATAGTCGAAATAATTATAAGAATACTACCTAGTACTACTAATTGTAAAAAACCTATGTAAGTTTTCACTAAATCATCTTTTAAACATCTACAGTTAAACTAATAAAAAATACTTTAATTTCAAATAAACTGAAAATCTTAAAACAGTATTTTATAATCATATCATATACTAAATTAATCAACAAAAATCAAATTAAAATTAGGCAACAACAAAATTAGTTAGAAAAGTTAGTCAAAATAAAAACAAAATCTGATACAAATTACATACGTAGAGCGCAGAAGACATTACTTAACGATCTAATCTTTAACATACACGTAAGACACAACACGTGTATTACGTGTGTACCTATTCATGTAGTTCATCATTAATTTAGCTACTTGTGCGTCAATATTTGTTAATTTGTCTCGTAACAAACTATACTGGCAAACACCACAAAAAAATTGTAGATGCCTAATTTTTTGGGATGTAATTGCACAATGCCTTTTCGGAGCATACATAGGTAACAAAATAAATTAGGGAAATACAATTTTTTCGTTATCTATGTATGCTCTGAAAGAGAATTGTGCGATTACGTCCCATAGTACGTTAAATATTTAGCTGAATTTATTTTAATTGGTTGCACTTACGTACGAGTACACAGAGAGTCATTGATTTTACGAAATTGAAGGACTCGTTTCGCATCACCATGCAGATTAAACTTTTAAAGAATAAACTGGTGGAGCCTAAAGTATCTGTCTAATGAGAGTAGGTAAATAAAAATGATAATGTAAAAGTATATTAATAAATGAGATTTAAAAAGAAATATAAAATAGTATTTTACATTAATTTCGAAAGAACGTTTCACTTGTCCTGTACACTGATTCAAAATGTATGTTTTATCTACAATAAGATCTCAATAAGAACTCCGATCATTCTACTTATAAGGGTACAGGTAAGAGGAAAGGAGTGAGCCCGGTGCACACGAGCCGAGGTAGGCGGGCCTCGCGCGCGGTTCTGCACGGCCGACGACGGAGCGGTCAGCAATGGATGCTGCGGCACTCGTAAAGACGTGTTATCGATTTTCATACCTTATCGTCGCGCGGTATGAGCTAGAACAGGATCGCGCGGCGAATATGGTCGTGCTGATTGCGGGGACAGTGCGGCGCTCTCGTTGGGTGCGGGCGGGCTCCG